CGGAAGCGAGTCTGTTACCGTGAGTTTCTTGTTCTCCGTCCTGCGCCAAACCCGTTGCCGGCCATCCCCACAGGAAGCAGAGTGAATACTCACAGTAACAGTCCCTGCACTGCTTTACTCCCCACCGTCCTTGTCCGTTTCTTCGATATCCTCGTGCCACGCACGAATGTAGTGAAACGTTTTATGGGGCCTTCCACAGTCTCGTCATATGAATATGCCCCCCACCTTTGGCGACACCTTTACGCCACAATCTTAAAACTCGCTGAAGTTCATGAAGCGTAAAGACATGTACAGTATTTGTGTCACACTGAGCGGACACAAAAAAATTACCTGCACGTCCAGGACGCTGGAGTTCCCAACCACGTCCCTGAGCACAAAGAGCTGCCCGAGGTACGGAGTGAGGACCGTAATATCTCCATGATCTGTGTAGCCTTGCTTGAGAAGGTACTGCACCAGTCCTGACACAAGCTTGGCCTCGTGCCTGCGAGTGGCGATCCCCACGAATTCAAGATCACCGGAGAGGGACTGCGAGAGTGAAATCGTGTTCACAACTATCCGAACAAGCATTCGCCAAACGCGGTGGGGTGATTTCTGGCACATCTTACGAAGGGAAAAGCTACGAAGGCTGCCTGGCTTGTCACGATGAACGCCCTTTTCACTCGAACCACTGAAGGAACGCAGATAGATGCGTATCATCCTTAGGACGGGAAACTCTATTGCAGCGGACGCTCATGGCCCTATGTTATCACGCGTGGAATGAAATTCCTCCTGTGATGAGTCGGGAGAGAATGTGTTCAACCCGAACATATGCGTGCCACCTCCGCGAGGAGATCCTCTGTACCTGTTCGTTTTGGAGCTGGCGACAGTGCCGGACTTGTCTTCGGGCACCGCGTGGTCCCAGAAGAAAAGGTTGCGCCGCATTCCCTCCACCGGAGGATATTTCTGCACCTGGCGTGCGTCCTTGAGATTCGGATACACGGCTGGCCGGATGAGGTCGGCGATTTCCGGTCGCATGCGCCGCTGCGTGGCTAGGTCATGGACGGGAACTCGGCGCTCTTCCACCAACTGGGCACGAAAAGCACAGAGAAGCAAAAAGTGCACAGAGAAACCCGGACGTAGAGTCGGGGTTGGTGGAACGAGGCACAATCCAGAATACTTGAGAATTTCCCAGTTTACCACATGCATGAATGTGTCGACGATACCACGGGACACCATGGCTGACGTTTACCCCACCACTTCTTCTATGACGCTGCTCAACGTCATCGGACCACATCGATATCCACCGTCATCAGTCCGACAATCCGGACCTGCGCCGCCACGAAAGACGAAAAGTGCCCGTGCGTCGCCCATGCTCTCAACAACATTGTCTAGAACCGTCCTCACCCTCTCAAACATGGACACGTCGAGATCGAAGCCCTTCCTTGATTCCTTGGTCAGGCGGTACACCTCTGCCTTTGGCCGCAGCTGCAAATGGTCACCTGAGCAAACCGACGGATCGCAATCGTTCGAGCGCGCAAAGGGACATTAAACGGCCATCTGTCCAATAGCTTCACCCGAGAAGATACGAGGTGTCAGCGGCGAGTCGCCCTTGTAGGGGTGGAAGTAGTTGGCCTTGATCGACCCTGGGTGGTTATTGCTACACACGAATGTGTTCATTCCTTGCCACTACAGTCATGACGGCACGATATGATACCAACATATTCATCACGAATACAAGACTTGTCCAGATACGCTCGAATGATATCTGGGATGACAAGTATTCATGGACAGGGGATGTGATGTATCTGTGCATCTACGTTGGAGGGATATGAGTACATCATACCCCGAGATTCATGAGTGTAGTGTTGATTTCACAACACAAGCTGGATGTGGGCCGCAACCATCGGAGCCTATTATTGTTATGCACGGTCGCCGCTCTCTGCTAAACCATCAACGAGACTACCACCAGGCCCACCTATGAGGATGAGGTGCTGGGTCGACTGCGTCAGCCCGGCGAGGATGTGCGCCTCCATTACCTGTCGACGCGGTCCATCAAAGAGGAAGAATGCACAACGCAGTGATCTCAACGAAAGCGACCAAACAAACAAAGCGCTGGTCAATCCCTACCATCACAATATCGTTCCTGGTATTTTGTATCGTGTGATGACCGAAACGTGTTGGAACCACACCGTCAATCAAGGGCTGACTTTGGGTAAGATTTTCTCTCGCGCGACAAAGTTTGCCGCAGCATCATCTAAGCATATACCTCTGCGGCCTCCTCGACGACAACAACGGTAGCCCCTAGCGCCTCGACCAGGCTCTGGTGCATGGCGACCCCGGTGGTGGTTATCCCAACAACGTTGGCCTCCTGCAGCACGGCCAGTTCTCCCTGTGTCTTGTGGTTGTCATGCCTCTCCCAGAGCGAGAAGAAACTAAACATGGGAGGGAGGAGAAAATGTCTGGAGGCGTCAGCATCTTGGTAGGCCTCGGCAACAACGCTAAGTAGCTGTGAACAAAGTAGAATGGCTCCGCTTTGAGGCGTGCAGCGGAATCGCACTTTCACCAACTAATGAAAAGTGGCGCCACCAGCGACGTGTACGTATCGCTGAGACGAAGGCACCGAACTGACACACACAAACGCCGCCCACACACAATTGTTCTCACTCTTCGATCATTCGAGCAAGGCGCTCCCTCGAAGCCGCCGCCTCGGTCTGTTGCCAATGGCGGCAGAGCGTCCGTCGTTCCTCGGGAGAAAGCGCCCACACGCTCCGTCCGTTTAGGACCGCCTGAAACAACGAATACATCAACGTACGAAGAATGAATGACCACGCCACATGCGGATCGGCGGTGTCGAAGACGTATGCGCATGTACATGACTTCGCCAAAAGCACCGATCTCTTGCCCGCGCACGTTGTTGGCACTGGGCTCCCCATGTTGTAGGTGTTGGTGTGTCCTGATGCCGTGATGTCCTGGTGTTCTTTCGCTCGTAATTGATGCGGCATGAGCGCATCTCTATTTTCGGGCAACGAGATATGTATCATCCAAGTAGTGTGCCTCTCCCTCTCGCTTCAGCCCCCCTTTGACTCGCGAAGGTCACGCGGGAGCGTTCCACTCGGCATCACCAAAGTCGATCTTACCGATACGATGATATCGTAGTCATTCAGACCATGCACAGCACCGGCTGGAGGGGTAGGCCTGGTATCGCCTGGATCTCCTTCCTCGCTGGAACCTTCTTCGGAATCCTCGTCTGCGCGCAACAGAGGAGAGAGGGCGTGTGGAGGATGGTCAAGGCGCGAGCCTTCCGGGAAACGAAATTTATGTTCCTTGTTTCGAAATACACCGTGCCCAAAAGCCGATCTGCGGCGTGTTCGTCTCAGATTCCCTTCTGCTTTTCCGTTTCCAGGTTTTCCAACCACCTCTCTCATTTCCGGCCTACCGTCATCGCTTTCGCTTTCGGCGTCTTCACTCATTGATGACGCGACAGAATCCGTCTCTTCTTCTCCGTCGTTACCGCTACCCTGCTCCAGTCCATCGCTTGTAGAGCTCCAATGTCCCTCGTCGTCTTCGTCCAGACGGCTGCCACCCTCCTCGCTGTTGGGGACCAACGTTTCTCCAGCCTTCATCTCGGCGTCGTCACGGAACGGCGCCGGCCTCGGCTTGGGCCCTGGTGGCTATAGCAGGCCGGGGTCGGCGAAACGGACGTGGACGGTGGTGCCATGCCCGCGCCCACGCCCGCGCCCGCGCCCAGACAAACCACGCCCGGCCCCGAATCCTCGGCGTTGCTCCACGTGCTGCCTCTTCTGGTTCTGGCGCTGCTGCTGCGCTCCGAATGTAGCGGGTGTGGGTGGAAGGGCCGCGGGAGGATGGACCCCGTCAGGGCGGGTCTCACTGCTCGGGGAAGTACCCTTCGCTTCGAGATGGCCACCTAATGCGAGCGAGGTTTGGGTGTTGGGCCAGCGCGGGCGGGGAGGCAGGTGAAGGTCTACGATGATTTGGGGTAAGAGAGCGGAATAACTGTCTGGCCGTTGCCAGAGATCCATCGGTTGCGTTACGAGCATTTACAGCCATCGCCACGGCGATGTCTCCATCAACTAACTCATCACTTACCGTCGACGTGACCTTCCTTGTCGTTATCAGTGTCTTCGCTTTCGAACATCTCCCACTCCTCTCCGTCCGCCATGGGAGCCAAACCGCTGTTGGCGAAAGACCACGGAGATGTGCCATCGTCGTTCACGCCGCCGCCCGAGATAGTGCCCTTCGGCTCCGCTACCGCATCAAACAAATCGAACGCTGGTTCGCCACCTGACATCGAGGAATAGTCGGAACTGTCACCGCTGCTGTCGTGGTTGAGATCGGCCAGGGCGAGCCAGGGATTCCCCGCGGCCACCGAGCGCGCTATCCCGGTAGCAATGTGGTGTTCGCCTTGGTTGGTAGCCCTGGAGTTGGCGTCGGCGCTTTCCTTCCCTTCAGCGACTCCATCGTCGTCTTCGAGGTCCTCCGTGGTCTGTTTGCTTTCTCCGGCACAGGTATCATCTGCGCTAGGGAGTGGTTCCGACGGCGCGCTGAATAACGAAGCAGCACCAGCGCCACGTCGAGCATCAGGATAAGGAACCGTGGCGGCATCGCGGCGGTCCAACGCTCGTCGCTGGTCGCGCCTCTTCCTTTCCTTGGTCCCGGCGACATCGCCGTCCTGCGCGTCGGGCAGGCTCGCCTTCCTCAGCGTACGACCGTTGTCGTCGTGGTTGGTCATGGCGCCGCTTATCTCCTTGGCTCTCACGCCGGAAGGCTTGTTCTTTCGCCTGCAACGCTGGCGCCGCCGCCTGACGTCAGCGGGGTTCTTTCCCGCTCTCCTTGGCTCTCACGCCGGAAGGCTTGTTCTTTCGCCTGCAACGCTGGCGCCGCCGCCTGACGTCAGCGGGGTTCTTTCCCGCCAGCCAGTCCTTGATACCGCTGGGGGGCATCTTTCCTACCTGGAGATTGTTGGCGGTGTCATGGTGAGTTTCTCGTGTGTACTACAAGCAATGGAAATTCCTCATGCGCTCGGCGGGGAGTACTTCGCGCTCGCCAACGCAGCGTTTTCTCAGTTTGTCGCACCCATCATCAACCTGCTGTCGTGATGAAATCAGCGGGGACGAGTCGAGGCAGGCACCTCACCGTTTGCCAGTCATCCTCGTCAACCACAGGGTTTTTGTTGCCGTTGACGATGGCCTCCTCGAAGACGGGAGGCGCGTGCCTTACGAGAAGCCTGTGCAACACTTCCGTGGTGCTCCAGTTGGCATCGCGAAAGTTGGCCGTGATCGCTGTGACCCCGCCCGCCCACTGCAAAACGAAAGGTAAGGTAAGGGGACCCAAAACCGCAGGAGAGCGAGACGTGAAGAGAAGGTGTGGAAATGACACCGGAAGGGTTACAGCGCTGGAAACCGCGGCATATCCCAATCAGCTCGCGGGTTGTTATCCTTCACGAAAGGACCCGTCACGAGAGCAATACCACTCAATCAGTACCGCGGTATCGCCGCTTGGCGCTCACCTCCCACTCGTCGCGCATGTCGTCGCTCAGCTGCTTCATCATGTTCCGCAGTCGGTACATCTCCTTGCCGCAGGAATCTTCGAGCGTATACCGAAAGAAAAGGATTAGGTCGGAGTTGCTGTCGCCGCACCCAAGGACGAAAAGAACTAGAGAGCGCCAAGTAAATGTGGATGTTATTTTTCCCCGGATACTTGTTCGGTCGAAGCTGGATACGGTATTTCAACGAATAGTTCCAACGAATAGTTCCCGCGACCATGTAGCCATTTGCCACGCAGTTCACCGCGCTTACACTGCCTCGATATGGAAGGGCCATCCACATGAATGCACCAGCAGCATGAGACGTTTTGAAAGGGGTGCTCCATTTTCCTCAATGTTGCGTATTTCAAAACCTTTGCAAGTCCGCGTTTGGAGGAGGTCGGGGCACAATCGTGTTGGAGCGACAGCTTCCAAAGTGTCGAAGATCGAAAATGAACAGCGGTGAAAATTACTCGCCACCTATCATCACTTAGAAACACTTTCGAAAATATTGAACGGGACGAGCATGCGAATTCAAACGGCTCTCGCACCGCAAAGCATGAAACGCCTTGGGGGAAGCAAGCCTTGGCTTCATACCTCTCCGGCCGTGCGAAAGCTCTCTCAGCATGAATCGCTTCAGCCTGTCGGTCTTGCAGCTACCGCCAACCCTTGCAGAAAGTAGTATGGAATTTCAAGAGGAGCGGTAAGAACGCGGGACGGGGGGATTTCGTAAGATAATCGGGCACACGAAATCAGTTTCACTCACAGATAGGTGAACCGCGCAGATGTTTGGTCAAGAACAGGAGTGGATGACACCCACCAAAGAAGTCAGATGATGGGGTGGAAGAGACGCGGGGGAATAGCAACGCTAACCGGGATCCGACGCAAGCAGGGCAATCCCTACCGAAGGCAACGACAAGCGACTCGTGCAGCACCAACAGCCCCCCCCCCCCCACAGACCCCGTCCACGGTGCCCCCGACACAGCACTCATAACAACAGCCACATCGAAAAAAAACAAAATAAAGAAAAGCAAAACACGAGGAATATTGCTGCTTTTTGTTCAGACGAGGGGAAAATACGAAGAAGGCCGATTGTGCACGGAATGCACGAAAACGGGTCACTCGACGAAAACCACCCACCGCGCTCTCGTCATCTGGACGAGCATCAACAAGCGTACCCCACCTGCCACACACGTAGCCGATTCCCTACCACTCTTATCGTTTCCTCGACCGCGTCGGAAGCATCATCACCTGACGATGCCGTCGACTCCGGCGTCTAAGAGGTCACACAGGAACTGGTCCAGGGCGTGGTTCGTGAGGCAGACGCACATGATCGGGCCCTTCCAGTGACTCAGCATGCGTCTGTTGGTGAGCAGCAGCCGGACGACCTTCGTCCCGACATACGTCTTTGAGCAGGAGCAGGAGGGAAGGTTGGAAGGGATGCAGAGAAGCGAGGCAGTAAGGAGAGCAAGCGATGAGCGTGAAAAGGAGGAGGTTGAGAGAAAGACGGGAGATGAGAAATACGGTTAGTGTTCTACACGAACGACCAAGTTTATCCTCGTGAGCTCTTCGCAGAACGCCATTCTCTGGTGGGTAGGTCTCGCCACGCAAGGCTGTGAGGGAGGGCAACGAGCGCACGGTCGCACCTTGCCGGTCCCCGGGGGTCCTTGGATGAGGGCCACCTCCTGGCAGAGTGCCGCGCGAAGAGCCTCAAGTTGAGCCTGCACGCAACGAAAAGGCCGACAGGCACAGGAAAATATGTCATGTTACCGGTGCGATCACTTCCTCCATTAACCCCACTTGCCACACACGTAGCCCCTTCCCTACCACTCTCATCGTTTCCCCGTCACATTGATCGAAACCCAGTGGGTCAAAGAGGGAAACAGAATGCACCACTCCGTGCTCCGGTTCTTGTGGTATGTTGAATTTCGGGTTCCAATGCGCCCGACAACGTTCCAATATCAAGGCGTTTGAGGCCATGAGGTTCAAGCCGCTTACTTGATGCCTACAATGGGCGAAAAATCGGCCGCTGAAGGTGAGATTCGTCCCATACCTGATCAAGCGTCGTGTGTTCCAACAACTCGGTCATGGGGAAGCGCTCCTGATCAAGCATGCTGACGGAACTAAGGGCGTCCAGAAGGGTCTCGGCGTTTCCCCCACGCGTTGGAGGAGTGCTGATCAGATCTGTCAAGTCGTACGCATCAACTGCACGCGTGGCGGGGTGTGGGTGGGGGGTCGGGTTAGGGCTTCGCTTGGTGAGAGATCTTCCAACCCCAACGCGGTTTCTCCTTGTTGGCAATACATGCTCAATGCACCATTGGTGGTGCGGAAAATGGGGTGATAGACTGTTTGTGGGCGGGTGCCATCACGGCGACTGTGCCAATCTTAACTCGATGTGTTGAGAAATGTTTTTTCTGGTCTACGCCCTGAGCAGGGAGGTGGTAGTACGCCCGTGCAGAGGAGAATTCTATTCTGTGAAAGATTGACGTAGTATGCAAGAATGTAGGCTTGTCCCCAAACACCGACCAGACCAGAAAATATGGGTCCTATGTTTGATTCAGAGCAAACAAACTCGGGCGGTGTTGGACGTCACGTCAACCCAGCTACGCACACTTGCCTTGCAGAAGGTACCTCGGAGGTTTGGGCTCGGTAGCATCTCGAGCTGTGGCGCCAGCCGCGGCTACGGCTGAGGGCGGTAGAAGCGTGTCCGCGAAGGGAAGCACCTCTCGCGCCTGATGTTCCGATGTCGTAACCCGAAACACACGTATTCGTAGAAATAATGCCGTCAAGATGGGTGCGTGTAGAAAGCGAAACGGTATGGCATGCGTTGGCGGTGTTGAGAACCTAGTCTACACTGTGTCATCCACGGGACTCATGAGCCATGTCTCCTGTTGAACCGAAAACGAAGAAAAACCTACCGTGTTGCCGCACATCACCAACTGTGTGCGTAGTTCGTTTTGAATACACCTACAGGGCGTGACTGCTGTGCTTTCTGAGAGCATCTTACGGAAACGGTGTTGCCGCCGCCTGAGGGCTACACCAAAAGTAAAAACCGAANCATCCACGTGACTCATGAGCCATGTCTCCTGTTGAACCGAAAACGAAGAAAAACCTACCGTGTTGCCGCACATCACCAACTGTGTGCGTAGTTCGTTTTGAATACACCTACAGGGCGTGACTGCTGTGCTTTCTGAGAGCATCTTACGGAAACGGTGTTGCCGCCGCCTGAGGGCTACACCAAAAGTAAAAACCGAACGCTTTGGGTCCCTCTGAAGCAGCAGTTTTCTATCGAAGATAATGCGAGAGCGGACGGGGTTGGACCATCACCTCGGTGTTTCTCTACCCCCGCCTTACATCCTGCGACTCGTGAACGCCAAAGTCTGGCCCACTCCCCGATACCCCTTTGTTCTCCTTCCTGGTGGACCCGCTACCGTTTATTCGACTGTGACTGCAAGATAGACTTTTGTGTTGTAAGTGTTGGTTGTTGTTGTTGTTCACGTGATATTCAGCGCGTTTGACCCTCTCTCAAATTGCAACAAACGGGAAGGACATTATCGAGCGCCCCTTACCGGACTCTTAAGAACTTGCAGGATCGGCCTGTAGGCGAAGTAGGAATTTGACGGCTGTAGCATCAGAAGCCGGCCTGCATCGAGACAAGGTGGGGGGAAGCGATGGTCAATCGGAGGTCGGAGTTGACGGTTGTGAGCGTAGTTACGAGTGTGGCACTGGCTACATTCCGATCGCACAGACGACATTCCATTTCATCGACCACAGATTGCCGGCTCCTGCAAGTATTTCTACCAGGCTTCGCCCCGCCCTTTGCTGTGCCTAGGTCGAAGGCTCAAAAGGAAGGTCGCTGGAGCCCTGAAACGGCCGGCTGGCTGGTTCTCACCGTCCGAGGTACGTCCACCGAGATCGAGCAAGCTCTCCAACGCCGCAACTGTGCCGGCGCTGCTGTCGAAGGAAACGCCTATCTACGCCCTGGGGCTCGGCCCCGAAAGTTTACTCACGTCTCGCTCCTGTGGCGTTCGGGTGGGGGGGCGGGGGGGG